GGAAGCAAGAAGAATGAGTTGAGTAAAGTTTGACTTATCTGACTGTTTTGTTTCGCTTAATGCGCCTTATAATCTGTAAAATACAGTAACTTCTACCTTCTTTTGGCATGTCCAGAAGTCCAACTTTCTGTGCGATGGTTAGCATCTTCCTCTGCCTTTTGGGTGCTACCGCAGGTGCCTTTGACGGTGCAAAATGTTTCATCGACATTGTGTTTGTTGGGGAGAAAACTTAGAAACATATAGTACAGCACATCAGAGTCACACTGCTAGCGATCGACGATTTATGTAAATTTGACAAGCTGAACGCATTCTGTACTGTACAGGAGACGTGGCACAGAGGATACTGATTGAAAATGGTCTACAGCCAATCCGGACACAGAACACAATGCACTGTAAAAAAAAAAAGCGTGCAAAATTGCACAAAAAATCCATTAAACAGCAAGGCTGCGAAAGGTGAACCGCATTATAGCGAGGGAGCACTGTATATACATTTTTCATCTGCTCCAACAATTATATGTAATGTGTGATCTTTTTCAAAAGTAAGTATAAGTGAACAAAAATGCAGAAATAAAAATGCAAACAGATACACATTACTTACAAAGCAGAGAGTGCAAAGTTCATGTAAGAAAATGTAAAATTTACATATTTTGATAGTTAGACTCCAGTGAGAAGCAATATTACAGGGCAGAATCTGAGAAAAAGGGAGAAAATAGTGACTACAGCACCAGGCATATAAATACAGGTGAAGATGAGTGAGCAGATGGTTGTAGAATTTGCATAAGACCTTTGCAGATGACCTTGAATGACAGACAGCCTGAAAGAGGGGGAGTGACAGCAAATTAAAAAAAAAAAAACAGAAAAGAGGCTGAGTGACTCATAGAAGACAGACAAGTAGGTGCTTGGACAACAAAAGAGTTTTGAATAACATACACTACCGGTCAAATCTTTTAGAACACCCCAATTTTTCCAGTTATTTAATGCAATTCAAGTGATTCAAGTCCAATGATTAGCTTGAAATGATAAAAAAAAAGGTAAGTGATGAACTGGCAGAGATAAGAAAAAAGAGTAAGGTTACCCAAAACTGAAAAACAATGTGCATTTCAGAATTATACAAAAAGGCCTTTTTGTGTTTTCGGGGAACACAAAATGGGTTAACTGCTGTTCTGCAGCAATGGAGGTTGATCAAGCCTTGAAAGCTGGTGCTACTAATTCCTACAGGTGTTCCAAATGCATGATAGCAGTGTTGGAACACAATGTGGTACCATACCCTCATGAGCATCAGCAGAACAGTATTGTACTGCAGAAAGTAGTGTGTTGTTACAAAAATGGCGAGAAAAAGGCAATTAACAATAGAAGAGAGACAGACCGTCATGACACTTTAAGCGTCAGTGAGTACTGTTTCCTTTACTAAAAAAAGGCACTCAGAAATTAGGCCAAACTCTGACAGGAAGAGGTCTAGCAGACCCCAAACCACAACTGAATCAGAGAACAAGCTTCTGAGAGTTACTGATAGGCAGCTCATACGATAACAGCCTCAAGCACGGATTAATATTGGTCGCAGTCAGAGATGTGTATGTGTTACTGCAATCCGATTACTTTTTCCAAGTAACGAGTAAAGTAAGGGATTACTATTGCAAAAAAAGTAATTCGATTACTGTTACTTTCCTGTAAGCACACTGCATGACTGCGTTACTAAACTGTGATTTTGTTTGTGAGAGCGTCTCATGACAATGATGCATGAGCGTGCGACGTCCGTGGTAGCACCAGACGTATGTAGAGCAACTATAATATGGAGTGTTGGAGAGAGTACGACCATGCGGCGTTTAAAGCTTGGAAGTACTGACATTACTTTGTGTTTGATTCTGTAAAAGGCGACAAAAACATTAGCGTCTACTGTAGACTCAGCGTGGGAACAAACTTTTTTCTACTTTGAAAACTTCAAATCTGAGACAGTACCTATCACGCTGGCATGGGAATGTGAAATTCACAGAGAAACCCCTGTATCCCCCACTGACATTACCACTGTGGCACAGGGCAAACCTCCACCCGTCCCACTCCTGCTAGACAGGTGAAAAAAGATTTAAGAACAACAGGACTTGGTAGAAAATAGGTTTAAATGTTAAACAAATTTTTTCCAGTCAGAGAATGTTGCATATACTTTTAAAAAGTAATTAAGTAAGAAAGTAACTAAATACTTTTGAAAATAAGTGATCAGTAAAGTAACGGGATTACTTTTTTGGAGAAGTAATCAGTAAGTAGTTTCTAATAACTATTTTCAAGTAACTTGACCAAAACTGGTTGTAGTAAGCAAGTCTCAGTTTCAACTGTGAAGACTTCGAGCTGCAGGTTTGACAGGATGAGTTGCAACAAGAAAGCGTCAGAATAAGACAAAAAGAGGCTTGACTGGGCCATGAAACGCCACCATTGGACTGCTGAAGATGGGAAGAAGGTATCATGGACTGATGAATCAAAATTTGAAATCTTCAGTTCATCAAGCAGGATCTTTGTATGCCGTCAAGTAGGTGAAAGGATGGTTGCACAGTGTGTAGCATCAACTGTCAAAGATGGACGAGGAAGTGTGATGGCCTGTGGCTGTTTTGCTGGATACTGGGTTGGTGACTTGTACAGAGTGAGAGGCACCCTGAACCAAAACTGGAAACATTGGGGCATTCTAAAAATGTTGACAGGTAATGTATATTTGAAGTTTAAATCGTTAAATTCAATAACCATTGTGCTGGAATGACCAGTTAAAGCTGGGTTAAAGTGGAAGATATGAAGTGCAGATCACTTAAGTCAGCGGTCCCCAACCCCCGGGCCTCGGACCGGTACTGGTCCGTGAGTCGTTTGGTACCGGGCAGTGAGAGTTGAGGCTCAGGTGTGAAATGTATGGTTTTCAGGGTTGTTATCAGTTTTCAGCGTTATTTTGTTATCGTTTTTATCGTTAACTCGGTTTTCCTGGGTCTTTTCACGTGTGTTATGAATAAATCTTCTTTTTTTCGGTACCAGTACTAGTTTTATTTTGTTGTATTTATCCGCGACACCTTAAAGGCCGGTCCGTGAAAATATATACCCACAGACAGCAATCTGAGGTTTCAGCCTCTGATGTTAAGTGGCAGACCTTCATAGGCTTCTAGTCTACAAGCCATACCATTGTATGGCTTTGCATAGAACTAAAGACCCATACATCTTATCCAGTAAAATGTATTACCATTAGATAAATACTATAGGGAAAAAAAACTATATATAAAAACTAATAATAAATAAGCAAAATTAATGAACACCTTTGGAGAGAAAGCACAAAGGAAAGCAACAAAGCTCTGTACTTTATACCTATAAAGCCAAGTATATAGTTTTCGTGAGTTATTATTTTTTGTAAAGATTTGTACATCATCATCATCTTTTCTACAACATCAGTGTGATCCCCCCCCCAAAAAAAATAAAAATAAAAAACCTAAAGGGAAACTTTATATGTGCACAATCAGCATAGTGTTCTTTGCATCTTCTCTACACATTAATCGTACAAGCCAGTTTCCATAGACAAAATCTGGACTCATTGCTAAACATATTGTTCCTCCATATGTTTAAGTTGCCGTGCACATGTTGCCTGGCCGCACAGTGAAGGACTGTGGAAAACCTCCTGCAGGTTATTTGTCAGCTGAACATCCATAATATGAATTTTGCTCCATCATATACCAAAGATACAATAAACTCATTGTCATGCTCAAGAAACTAGATTAAGATGAGCTGAGCTTTGTGACATGGCAAATCATCCCGTAGGATGCAGCCAGCAGAAGATGGGTACACTCTGGTTATAAAGGCAGCAACACTACGGCAACACTATGGCTGTGGCATTTAAACTATGCTCAGTTGGTATTTGGCTCAAAGTGTGCCAAGAACATAATCCCCGCACATCGCATAAACACCAGCTTGACCTGTAGATACAAGACAGAATAATTCCTTTCACGTTGTTTACACCGAATTCTGACCGTACCATCTGAACAATACAGAAGGAATCAAGCCTCATCAGACCAGGTAACGATTTTCCAATCTTCTTTTTGTGAACCCCTGTGAACTGTAGCCTCTGTTCTTAACTGAGAAGAGTAGCATCTGGTGTAATCTTCAGCTGCTATAGTCCAAAAATGGATGTGTTGTTCTTTCAGAGTTGCTCTTAATTTGGTTGTAAATTTGTCAACCCTATAAATGGTTGTGTGGAAAATCCCAGCAGATCAGAAGTTTCTGAAATACCCAGATCAACCCGTCAGGCTCCGAAAACTATTTCAGGTTCAAAGTCAGTTAAATGACCTTTCTCACACATTCTGGTGCTTGATTTGAACTTCACCAGGTTTTCTTGACCATGTCTATGTATCAAAATTGAGTTGCTGCCGTTTAATTGGCTGATTAGATATTTGCATCATCAAGCTATTTAACAGGTATACCTAATACACAGGTATACCTATTGTACAGCCATAGTGAGCACCACAGAGGAGTGGAATCTAGGAAAGAAGCTGTCATAAACACAAAGAGGCTGTCACATGAAATTTGTCACCTGTCATTTGTGAGAGTGTGACATTATTTCAGGAGTGTTTGAGACGTTCTTGCATGTGTTCGAAAACAAGCTCCTCCAACACATGCTTTTAAAGGAAAGTCTCTTAGATGAAAGATTTATATTAGAGGTGACAACAAGCATTAAATGTTGTCTGCTTTGGATAAATCCAACAGCTTCACTGTAGATAAGCTTAGAAGTACAGCTTTATCCAGTTCAATTGTACAATAAAATAAAATATAATAGCAAGTAATCTGGTAAATTTACAGCAGTTAAAAAAAAGTTGAACTAAGCAAATTTCTTTTCAGTTTAGCGTGTTCGTGAAGTGATCTATATTTACTAGTGGTCTTTCACTTCCTGACTACACAGTCACACTCTCTGTCATGCTGACGTCAGCCACCGATATAAAAACCTGTAAGCGCACACAGAGCACTGGACACAATGATTCACTTGAACCTCTCCATGGCACTTATAGCATTATTTGTGGCCTTTTGGACTATAGGATGCGTTAAAAGCTGCGGTGATCAACAGACTCAGATGAGTGGACGGTGTTGTAACAAGTGTCCCCCAGGTAAAAAAAAACAAACTTTTTTAAAAATCAGATGAGTGTCTTTCAATCTAATGTTTTGATTAGTTTGATCTAATTATTACAGTAGTGATCTGTTTGATGTAATGATCAGATTATGTGTTTAAGCTGAACTTTTTCGTTCAAGAATACTGAAAAATACTGAAAGTCGCTGATTTTAACTTTTTCCTGGTTTTAAAGGCACTTATGTAGAAGAGTTTTGCTCTGACAGACAACAAACTGCCTGCAAAGCCTGTCCAGACGGACATTTCTCACAACTTCCCAACCTCTTTGACAGATGTGAAAAATGTCAGACATGTCAGCGTAAGTTGAGAGAAGCTGAGAAGGCATTTACCAGAACTAGCAAAAGATGCAATATTGTGTTGAATTCAGTGGTTTCAATTCTTGTCTGTCTACAGATTATGCTGTGAAATGTACATCAACCACAAATGCAACCTGTAGTTGTGCCGCTGGTTTCCTGTGCTCCAACAGCATCTGTTCGACTTGTGTGAAAGACAAATGCGTCACAGGAGAGAAACCAAAAAGGACAGGTAAGAATGGACATTTTGAGTTTTTACAGCTACGAGTAAAATATATATCCTGCCACAAACACTGGTTTGACTATTGCATCTGTGTAATTGTGGATATTTAGACTAATCCCTTAAAAGTCAAGACATGTTTATTATTACATGATTAAAAAAGATCCATGTGAAAGAATTTTTTTTAATTTGTAATTTTATTCCACATCTGCTGTTCAACCTGAGCCTACTGATCAGGTGAAGGAGGAGCTGTTCATAATGTCAAGAGTGTTTAGCAAAGAGTGAATGCTCAGTTCCCTTTTGTCTTAAGCTGCAGTCCTTACTATATGTCATCAGATATATACTCATAAAACCTCATCACTAGACTCATGACTGACCTCACGGCGGAAACTGACAATGAATCACAGGATCTCCAAAGCTGACAAAATCTGTCACCCTATAACCACAAATGTCCCCCCCAAAGTATCTTTCATGTTTACTGAAATACTATTTCTTTCTTTTGTTCCAGTCGTCTCCTCGAATGCAAGGGTGATAGAATATTCGTATCAGTGTGAAGCCATATGTGGCGAAAAACAATATTTCGATGTGCAAACGAATGACTGCAAACCACTGACACAGTAAGATCGATTTAAACAGCTTCTGCCGCAGTGATAAGTAAAAGAAGTTGTGAACATGCCAGTGATGTAAAAGCTTTGTGCTAAACAGGTGCAGCGTGCTGGGGTTTCCTGAAAGGTTTCCAGGGAACAGGACACACGACTCAATTTGTGACAAACCCGGTATGTACACATATTCACACATTTTATTGACACAGGCTGTAATTTGTTGATTGCTCAGCATGTAACACTTGTGATACACGACAACAGAACATAGTGACAATATGCTGCAATCAAGAAACTTAACTATGATTTGACTTTTCACCAGGGCCCAAAGATGGTGGAGACTTCATTCATGTGATCCTTGGCATTAGTGTCATTTTGCTGTCTCTCAGCCTCTTTCTGTTCATGTCCTACACATGTATAAAGTACCTAAGGATTCACACAGCAAGTAAGTTCATGGAAAATCATATCAGTATGTCAAAGTGGAATCACTGGCATGGGCAGATTTCCTTCCGAAAACCACATGTGGCATTTAAACAATCAAAATAAGTATTCATTAACAGAAGAAATTGATGTGACTCAACCTAAATATCACTGCTACTGCTCTTTTTAAAAAATACCATCATAAGGGGAACTTCCCAGAATTATTTTCATATATTTTTGTGACGTATCAACAGTAGAAAAAAAAGATTCAAATGCAGATCATCAGATAAAAGGACTCATCTAAATTCCCACGGTGGCAGTTGGCTATAGAACTTTAATGCACTACAACTACTATAGTAGTCAATTACTGGACACTATAATATTTGCCTGCAAAGTCTGTCCAGAGGGACACTTCTCACAAGTTCACAACATCTTTGACAGGAGTGAAAATGCAACTGTAGTGAACATCATGCTATAGTGATATTATGATCATCACTGTACTATATATATGCCAGTTTACTGAAAAAATATTGATTTACATTGGAATATAATCTGATAGCCTATAAGAGCAGAATCAGGATGTACTCAGTTAAATTGTGCACATGTGACACTCCTTTTCTTCTTCTTCTTTTTAGAAATCCTCTAAGGCAGATTTAGTCAAACACATAAATACAAAAATTCTGTAGCACAAATTAACAGTTGCATTAATGTAGTTTATAAAGTGGGAAGTTTTTATAAATATATCTGTTAGCTGTGCCCACTTCTTGGATAAGCAAGAGGAAAAATGGATGGATGGATGGATGGATGGATGGATGGATGGATGGATGGATGGATGGATGGATAGATAGATGAGTTGTGTCTTACATTAAAGACATTCAAACCCTTGTGTGCATGGTGTCCACTACAGGGCAAAAAAACCCTAAATTAAGCTGGACATGTTTTAAGTCTGGTTTAGGAATATTAAAATAACCAAACCTCTCATTAAGTTAATAATAATTAAAGGTTAGTCTTAAAAGTCACATAACTTTTTTGAAAAAAAGTTGAGCATATTGTGATAAAACCTTTAATACAGTTACAAAGCTGATGGATAGTCAAACTCTAGCCATGATGTCCTTCTGTCAAAAACGTCAAAGTCTGCTTATCTTGCTCCCATTTCTCACTATGAAAAGTGATTAAGGTTATGCCACTTATTTGTTTAAAACAAATTGCACTATAGAACATCTGTAAGGCAATGGATGGAGCTCAGTGTATTATACTTTAGTTACATGGAAAGTCACTAATGAACAATTGTTTTTACGTGCAGCAACACCTTCTCCTTTGGATCGACTCCTCTCTGATGTTTCTATTTCACAGGAGTGAAATGTTTACAATAAATCTGCCTTTGTTCGCCTAAAATTTTGCATTTTGGTGATCAAATCAGAAAACTCCTGTGACTTGGAAAATGAAAAATGAAGTGGAAGTGAAGTGGAAAATGGGGGTGGCAGCAATGAAATGTGTGATGTTTATTATCGAATGCGTAGGTGTGCAGCGAGGAAATAATGTCATATTTCAACTAAATCATTGATGGTAATAATTCTCTCCCTGCTTTAGACCACAAACCCATGCTGGCTGTTCCTACTAACATCAGTGACTTTCACCTACCAAAGGAAGAGAGCGGGCTTCAGTTTGTCCAGGATGGATCCAAGGACAGTGACATTTGTGATCTAGAAAGCATTATTTTAAGATGATATTATAACTCTGTTCAATTACAGCCAGTATGCTAAAAATTATCTTGCTTGACGTCAGTGCACAGGATCTAGAAGGGAAAGTGAAAAACATTTGTAGAACAGACTTGATGATTCCTTTTGATCTTTAGCATGACTTAAGCAGAAACACATATGTATGGATTCATATTTAAAACCTCACTTTGATGTGGTAATGAGTTTATCTCAAGTCTATACTTGAAATAGATGATTTCTTGCTGAATATTCAGGGGTATTACAGTTTGGTCTGTAACACATGTGTTCGTCCCTGAGGTGGGCCTTGCAGTTTGTGCCCTTCTGGCATGAGTTACAGATGAGCTACACAAGTTTTTTATGCTTATTATACTGCAAATAAACACACTGTTGGGAATGTTTTAGGTAGGTAGAGTTAAAGAAATTCTACAAACGAAAACAAATCTGGTTGGTTTATTTTGTTTCTGTAGTATAGCAAAACAGATAAATTGTAATCAGAATAAATTAAATGGTTTTAGTCATTTTTCCTTTGTTGATCTATTATATGATTAATGAAAAATCTGCACACATTTTGTCGTTACAAGAACTGCTTTTTAAAACATTGTTAAAGTTTGTCAAAAGCTGTCTTTAACAGTCAAGCTCCAACTGGATATCTATTAATTGCAACAGCACATGTTTGTTTCTTTTATGAATATATATTTCTTTTGTAACTGCATAATGACTGTTTTATAAATATTAATTATTTTTTATATATTTCTTCTGTTATCATGCTGCAATACTAGAGTTGTGAATTGTGTTTCTAGTTTTTAAGATAATTTATTTAATATATGTTATCATAGTTCTTCATTTTCATATTGCATATATATATATATATATATATATATATATATATATATATATATATATATATATATATATATATATATATATATATATATATATATATATATATATATATATATGTGACATTATTCAATGTCTCACCTTCAGTGGCAGTGGTTGTTGTAGTGTTGCTGTGACGTGCAGGCCGGGATATGCTATAATAAACGTGTGACTGTTGTTTTTTTGTTCATAAAAAGTTCTTATTGACAAAAAGAACGCAAACAGTGGGCGTTACACAAAGGGTGCACTTCTTCTGCGTCCCTGCGGAGGCGCTGATGAGCACGTTTTGGCTGATCGGTCATATGACAGCTGCTTTTGTCCCTCTTCGCTTCCCCACTGGAAAAACGGCACATCTGACAGGGAGGGAGACGAAACAGGTACCACCATCAGGGGAGCGCTGACCACCGACCTCAAGATGCTTGCACTAATAAACCGGCTTTTGGACTGGATCAAGTCTCTGTTTTGGAAGGAGGAGATGGAGTTGACGCTGGTCGGCCTGCAGTACTCGGGGAAAACAACATTTGTAAACGTGATCGCTGTAAGTCTCCAGCTGCTACTAGCCGCCTTGCTAGGATACGGCTAACAGCCTTAACTCGCATAATTGCATAGAGGTTACTAAGCTAGAAGTGGGCTAAACACTGTCCGGTTCTCTGGGGTGTGCTTTGCTCTGTTGGTGGAGCCAGCATCCATAACACACACCGCAGTCAAGAGGAGTTGCTGTTTTATATTTAGCTGTTTAGTTTTGCAACTTACCGGCTACTAGGATGCAGTGTTATGGTCTAAACTCCAAAGCTCAAAAGCAGTATTTGACATAGTTTTACACGAAGGAGTTAAAAGCTGTCTGGAGTGCTTTAGTTACCAGGAAGTTAACGTAATAACACGCTGACAGTAACTGTTGACAGCGGTGCAGCCAAACTGGAACGATCACTTATGTGTCATTGTAGTACAGGTCCCCTGTACCAGTGTTATACAGGTGTCCTGTCAAAGGAGATCATCTGCCAAAAAATAATTGCGAGTGTTTAAACTAATGTAAATGAATTGGGCAGTGAAAAATGTACCACAATAACTTTTTTATTTCATATATTTATTTCATCTATAACATAACATATTCTACAGGTAATTTCTTCTTCTTCTTCTTCTTCTTCTTCTTCTTCTTCTTCTTCTTCTTCTTCTTCTTCTTCCTTTTAAATAAATAACCCCTTTGAAAATGATCCCGACTCCAACCTTTTTACCAATATAAGCAAATATGTTGCACATAAAAACATAAACACACAAATCACTTTTTGGCACGACTGGTTTCCAAAATCATGAGGACAACTAACAGAGTCTGGGTGGGTTATCTTCTTTATTTTTTATATTTATTTTCTTGTATTTATAAAAGTCAGCTTCTCAGTTTCTGTAGCATTAATGCTTAAATGTGAGATTATAAAGCAGTGTCAGATTTCCATGACACATCTAAAAAAGGGACTAGATTAACACTGCACTTAAGTCAAGCACACGTAAACAAAAGGAGAAGACATTTTTGCACTTATGTAAAAAAGACACAAAAACACAACAGCAGATTGTAGCTTCTTGGTAGGGGTGTTGGTTTCTCATGTAACTTTGCAGTTATTTCTCAAAGACTGGTGGGGCAATCCAGGTTGCCTTATTATTGCTAAAATGGGTTTCTTTCTTTTTTTCCCCTAACCTTTGGTTGTTTTAGTTTCACATATGGGGCCCTAGTGAAGGTGGCAACAGATGGCAGGCATGCCTTTTACTCCATCAGCTGTCAGATAACCAATCAGATTAAATGTATCTGGTGTAGGCAAGGTCTGATTGGTGCAGCCTTTCGTCTTAAAACGAAATAGCTTCAGATCAGTCAGGATTCATTCTGTACTTTTGTCTAATGTGCATCTTGTGTGTTTTTATGTAACAGTTGCTATCAAAAGTATGGATGAGTAATCAATTTTCAAAGAGATATGTTGCCGGGATGTTAGAGGAAGCTCTTTAAAAACATTTGTGCACTTGAGATGTTTATCTACGCTGCCAGAGTTAAAAACAAGTATGCACTTCCTCTGCTAAACCTTGGCATTCTGGTTTCTGGCTGGTGTATTTTTATGTTTTTAATCAGTTTTACTAGGTGATAGTCAGTGTATTGATGATGTATAACCTCTGCTTTCAAAAAAATTCTCATTTATTTGCTACGGCCACTAATTCAACATTGGTATTCTACTATTATGTGAGCTCAGTTTTATACATTGTATATTTATGTGTTGGTCCTTTTTGTTACGCAAACACTCAGGCTACTGGAAGTTGTGAAAAATTTTTTTTTTTTTAAAAGAATATATTTATTAAATTAGGTTAAAGTGAAAGTAATTCTTTCTAAAGACTCCGACTTGCACAGTTGAAACACTTAAAAGAAACACTGAATTGTTCTGAGGTTATATGCGTGCTGAAAAAAAACAGATTTTTATCAGGCATTTACTGCGAAGAAGACGACATCTCTATAGAAATTTTCTTTGGTGCCCACACTTATCTGGTGATATCAAGGTTTTTGGGGTTGGAACGTACTCTTCCCCTTCCTTTACGCTGAGTAAATGAAAAAAATACCCTACCAGACACTAACAATAGAGTTCATGAGTAGTTATGCAGGGGTGGTTCCGCCTTTCTCAGTCATAAGACCGTTCACTCATTTCCACTTAGCTTTGTCAGGTGACTCTGGCGAGTCATGTGCTGTGAAATGTTCGTGCACCCGGCAGTGCAGGTTCACGAAGCATGGAGAAGGATATCTGCAGCTTGTGAACTTAAAAGGGAAATTCCACTGATTTTTCATACACAAACACATTTTCTTTCCACTGCAGTTTACACAAAGCATTAACAAAAGGCCAATCACAAAAAACCTAAACGTTTTATTTTATTGTCATTTCAATAAAATGATTCACTCTGTTTATTTTTTTCTTTTATGATACTCAAATTAGAGTCAACTTTGAATGTTTTACTTTTTATAGTCCCTTCCTCCTTTGCAATAAAGACTCAGTGAAAACACTTTTATGATTGGATTATTCCTCATGAATGAATCAAAAACAAACGTTAAACATTAAAGCTGTGGTTTTACCTTAGGATGCCGTTATGTCAGTCACGCTTTCATAAGCTACCATAAGTTATAAATTGCTTGTTAAAGGTCACTTGAAGTTTAAATGTAAAAACTTATAAACGTTTCTTAGAACTGCCACTTAATTTGTAATCCGCAGCGTGTATTTCCATGCAGCATGTTGCTATGCATTTCTTATAAGCACACAGCTTAATGTATATGACTCCTGTTTTTTTAAGGAAGTTAATCAGTGCAGCACACATGCAGTATATATGTGAGTGACCAGTTGCGCTGTTATACTTGGTTATATAGTGCAGATGTTGTAAAATGTGCATTTGAAATTACTGGTTTTTTTTTTTCTTTTAATAAATGATAAACTTGTCTTTCCTTTCAGTCTGGGCATTTCAGTGAAGATATGATTCCTACAGTCGGGTTCAACATGAGGAAGGTCACTAAAGGAAATGTCACGATCAAGGTTCAGTTTTAATCTAACTGGTAAAACAAAACCCATCCCCAGAGTGGTTTTAGGAAAAGTTATCTAAAGGTTTGGTCTTAATTCTGTAGATCTGGGATATAGGAGGGCAGCCGAGGTTCAGGAGCATGTGGGAGCGTTACTGTCGGGGAGTTAATGCAATCGTGTGAGTATCCCCGACTGCCTTTCATACCTTTTGTTTCATAAAACAAACACTATTGTTGTTAAATGATGACTAATTTTGATTTTGATCTTGTCAAGGTACATGGTTGACGCTGCAGATCGAGAAAAGGTGGAGGCATCGAGAAATGAGCTTCATAATTTATTAGACAAACCTCAGTTGCAAGGAATTCCCGTAAGTGTTCCACTTAAACCAATTTAGATATTTGTGTGATTTCAGAAGCAGTAACAGAGATCTGTGTGTGACTTCTCTGGATTACTCCACTGGAGTTTCAGAGTTCAAATTTAACCTGCCCTTTTTTAGGTTTTGGTACTGGGTAACAAAAGGGATCTCCCCACTGCACTAGACGAGAAGCAGCTCATTGAGAAAATGTAAGTGGAAAAATCTTGAAGGCATTTCAACTTTTCATCAGTGCATTGTAGGTTCTTAATATCAGACGTGTTCGCAGTTTTTCATCTCGTTTTGTTTTTTAAAGAACCGTTAGGATGCTTTTCTCATGTATATCTCTTGGTAAAGGGGAACTGTCTTTATTTATATCCAGCTGTAATCTTACTGGTTTCCTCTCCTGTCAAGTTGTCAAAAATGTGCTGAGACTCTTACTAGTACTACTTTAACGCTGTCATTTTCAAACTGTGGTGTGGACGCCCCCTGGGTTTCTTTTAGGGCCATTGCAGGGCTTGTATGGCTGACTGGTGAAAGGGGAATAAATCTGCTCTATGTACCTTTACTTTAAATTAAATTGTCTTAAAATGTAGGGATTGGTTATATATAAATAACTATTCTTTACCTTTCTAGGAATCTGTCAGCTATACAGGACAGGGAGATATGCTGTTACTCTATTTCCTGCAAAGAGAAAGACAACATTGGTAAGTTGTGGCATTATTTCTTACAATCGTTTGATTTCTTTGTTGCAGTACTAAATCTGACCCTGCATATTTCTATTTATGCATTTATTTGCAGATATCACACTTCAGTGGCTCATCCAGCACTCAAAGTCACGCAGGAGCTGAAAAAACCCAAGTTGTTTTCCAGCTGTTATTGCCCTGTTACCGTCATGTCACACCCTCATCCCTCTGCAATGATGTACAGTCGTATCCTCACCTGCACTTCACCGTGCTGCACTGTTTTGCTTGTGTGACTTTTTTTTTTTTGCATTTTACCTTTTTTTTATATTCTTAAACAAATCCCAACAATGCACTACAACAATTCTGGTACCGAACTTTAAGAAAGAAATTGGCATTATACATCTTGTAAAGCTGTACTTTAATTAGGAGTGAGAAACTATTTTTAAGCTACCTTTTTGTGTCTTCAGGCATTACACAGTTGATGCTGCCAGGTAGCTTGTTACCCTTGTTGGTGTAACATCACCTTCTTCTAGGAGGGTTTATTCAGTTCAACAGATCTCACAGTATGATGAGGTTCTTCAGACAGTCAGGTATGATGCTTAGAAACGGCTGATGTGAACACGCAGGTTTTCCTCTTTCTGCCTAGCTCGGCTCTGTGATCATCTTGACTGTCAGCCTTCCCTTGATCAGGTTTTCTCCTTTCAAAGATGTGCCAGTTGTTTTAGAAAATGCGCATTTAAGCAAGTCAGTTGAAGCAGATCTGTAAAAAATATCAAGCTAGTATGATTTTTACTGAAATGGGATGTGTGTGTATGAATATATGATTCTATTTAAAGTTCTGAATGTACTAAAAGCAACACTGTATGGGGTTGTGTGGTTCATATTGGCCTCTATTTGTAATTAGCCTCAGTGGAACAATGTCCTTTTGTGCTGCCTCAAAGCTGAGAGAGAGGCAGGATTTAAAGTGCCTTGTGCAGTGTCTCTTCTCTGAAGCAAAGCAGCATGCAAGGTGTGCCTACAGTAACATCATAAAAACACCACTTCAATGTATTCTAGAATAAAAAAAGGCATGCTTTTTAATTTAAACACTGTTTTTTTTGTTTTTCTCTTGTCCTTTGGTTTGATATTCTACCTAGTTGAACAGAATGTACTCATCAAAACAACAGTCACTGTATGGGGGTGGGGGAAAACATTAATATGCTCTTTTATATGAAGTACTACAGTCATGGTAAAAAGAAGGTGCACCCTCTTTCAGTGGAAAGAATTTATGTATCAGGACAGGATAAAAATAATCTCCTTAGCAGGTCTTAAAATAAGGTCAATACAACCTCAGATGAACTACAAAACATGACATGTTGCACTGTGTCGTTATTTATTTAACAAAAACTAAGCCGAAATGCAGGAGTGTGAAAACTAATTACACGCCATGATTCAGCAGCTTTTAGAACAACTTTAAAAAGTATTATCCTGAAGTAACTATTTTCTGTGTGACTTCATCATTGTTGTGGAGGATCTTTGTCTTTATAAAGGTTTGCCTGCATGTGCCTATGTACAAATCTCTTAAGATCCCATTGCAACACCTTGATCCTTTTTCAGCCACTCTGCTGTAGGTTTGCTGCTGTCGCATGACCCAGTTTCAGCCAAGTCTTACGTGTTAGACCGCCGACTTCACATTTGACTCTAAATACTTTAGCGTATTGAAGAGATCATGGTTGACTCAGAGAATACTACGTTCCTGTGGCTGCGAAACTATTCCAAGTTATCACCAGCCAACAGGTGATAACAACAGTTTGGCAGTTGGTGTAGGGTTTTTGACTTTTGTCAAACGTAGTGCTGTGCAGGGCCAACAATTCCATGTTGGTCTTATCTATCTAAAGGACATTGTTCCAGAAATCTTGTGTTTTGTTCAGCTGTAATGTTGCAAACCTAGGTCATGGGTACCCTTATAAACAAACTTTATTTGTTCCGTCTTTTAAAAAAAAAATTGTACTGTCATGAACTTTTATATTTGACATCATAACTGAGTACTGCAGAGTCTGAGGTGTCTTTTGCAGTTTCTCTTGGTGTTATATCGTTTGACTGTTGGGTGAATTTGCGTGAGATTATTTGGAAATGATCTTCAGCAACAGTTACTTCTTTAACATTATTGTTGATTAATTTCTTTATATTTGTTAGTCTGCCAAATCAATCAATGTACTTGCCAAAACCTTTGCTCACACTTTCTAATGATCAGTTAAACAAGTGCATTTGATTATGAACACCTTGTTGAAACTTTCCCTCTTAATTCCTATGGAAGCAGTAAGGGTGTATTTATTTACTTATTCACACACTGCTTCTGCATTTTGGTTTAGTTTTTGTGAAAAAAATAATGACATGATGTAATATTGCATGTTTTGAAATTCATCTGCGGTTGTATTGACCCAGTTTAAAGAACTGCTAAGGAGCAGTTTTTCATTATTGTTATTATTATATTCTAATATGTAAAACCTCAGGATATACTTTTCTTTTTTTGCCATGACTACATACCAAAAAGCTCTACATAGCTGTTATCAATTACCTAGCCTATTATACCTGTGATCAGATCTATATTAGGTGACCCTTGGTAGGGTTTACAGGTCAGCATACTCACTTAGTGTAGTAATACAGTAAAATCAGGTACAAGCTCCTACATACGGTCAAAGCCATGTGCTTGTATGCATATAGTAATTACTCAGTATTATTGTTGTGGTTGAGTTGCTCTGCAGCTCGTATTCAGCGGATAAGTCAAAACAGCTTTATTATTATTATTTTTTTACCATTTAATTACGATAATGTTCTAATTGATGGCTTCTTAACCAATAAAAAGAGCGTATTAATTCTGGGGATCTTTGAAAGCATTTAAAGATATAGAACAAAATGTTCATTTTCCCCCCTTTTTTTCAATATATTTACATTTAACTGACCTTTCCAACTTTACATCTTTCGAAATGTAAATAATTTCTCGGTTTGAAAACTAAATGTTTCACTCTTGTGGCTCTTTCTTATTGGCATACAAATCTGGAATGCCACGAAACGCACCGTCGAGATTGACATCTCTACGACCAATCACTAGTAGAACCCGCTGACACGACACCAATCGCCTATCAGGATGTGGGAGGAGCTGGTTTGTTGACAGGAAATGCGAGGCGGACTCACTTCCACAACCCCTTCTCGCCTGTAGTTCAGCCGGACAAACAGCGGGGCTGGCAGTTGGTCATCCCTCTGAGGTATGTGGACTTAAACTATGCGTTTCAAGACCGACGCGGGGCAAAGATGCAATGGAGGTCAATACTTGTTGGTCTTGTCGTATTGAGACTGTCTCTCAGCTGCATGCTGTGGCTAGCTTTCGGACTGGGACCTAGCTGGGGGTTCAACTTTCATCTCGGTTTCAATTTGCACAAACTGGACTTGCTGTTCAGGGAGGAAAAGGAGACCGAGCCGCGAGATAACTCGTGGTCTGAACGAATACACGGCCCCAGATATGAAGAGACGGAGACCACCTGTGCGTCGGCGGGAGAGGAGTCCCCAAAGAGGTCCTACCTGAGCTTCTTCGATGGCAACAAGGACGAGTACGTGCGGAGATACAGCTCTTTCCCGGACACACTAAAGGCCAAAATGAAAGACATGGCCAAAGAAATGTTCTACTTCGGATATGACAATTATATGAAATATGCCTTTCCCGAGGACGAGCTGAATCCAATTGACTGTGAAGGGAGGGGTCCAGACGTGCAAAACCCGTGAGTCATTCACTGTTACCCCGATTACCTGAACTGACTGGACCTGCTACTGTGAAATGCAGTTCACGCTTCCAGGCGCTCAGTTATCTTAACTGTCTTCTGCACATTGCAGTTTGCATGCAGTTGTAATCAAACTGGCTTGTAGTAAAATGTCGCTGCTCAAGAATCACTCAAGAACGGGTCAGGGTTTACAAGTGGGAACCGGAGGAGAGTTCAAACCATGTTTTCTCTAAATAGAAAGCATTTACATAATTCTTATTATTTTGTGGCAATGCCAGCCTAGGTCAGATGACTCTCACTGAACAGTCCTGTACTTTCCAAGCTTAAAGAGTCTTAACAGGGATCCTGTGGGTTTCTGTGAAGTATAGCCTGTTTTTCTTCATAACATATTCAAAATTATGAAATCAAATGATCTCAAGCAAATGTATAGTTTAAGAAAAACAGAGTGAAACAACTATTTTACCCTCATGTTTGTCTTGAATTAATCAGTAAGTGTTATTTCCAAGGTTGGGTGACATATACTTGTTTGTTTTCTGACAAAGCCTCTAGATCCTGGAGAGATTTAGTCTACAGTCTTGTTTCTCCAAAACTGAGTCTGATACTGAGCAAAAAGCTCCAAAGCCTGCTATAGTTTTCCAAATCATTTAAACTTTGTTTAATTAAAAACTTACTTACTGATGCAGTTGTGATCATATCTGCCACTGCTGAGTCAACAGTGCTATCCATCAGCTTTCCCTTCAGTCCCTTTAAAAGAAACAATGCTTTTCAAACTGTAACAGGTTTTCCCTTCAACTGGAACTACACGCAGAACCACAACTAGATACTTCATTGTTCTCAAAGGAAATTTTGACATTTGTAGCTTGTGAATGACAGAGCATTAAACACAAAAGCCACCAAATACAGATTTGAATAGGGAAACTAGAGGAATATTATAACGGAGTAACCAAAGGTTGTGCAAAACTACAAAAGCGAATAGATGGTACCTCACTAATGAGAGCTGTCCCTGTTGTAAGATATGCAACTAGTATGATGTGTGAGGTATGCTAAAGTGTAGGTAGTGCAAAGGGTGATCCCCATACAAAAACATTACAGGATGCATTCACAATGCAAGAATTATTACCACTGTAAAGAAAACTGTCAGAAAACTGGACAAAAAGTGTAAATGTGTCTGTGCATAGCACTGATATAGCCAATATCAAGACTATCTGATGCAGAAAATTATGCTGATAAGGCAGCATCTCTGACTCCTTTCCTCTTCTGTGATGCGTTCAAGAGCTTTATGGTTCAAGGCAGAATAGATTTCCTCAATCAGTCAGCTGTATCAGAAAAAGTTTTGAGATATATCACTAACATTAAGAGAAATTTTGTGTGTGTGTGTGTGGGGGGGACTTTCTCAAGTGTTTTCTAAGACAAGAAGGGATTTTATCATTTTTAATGGCTAGTTCCTTTTCATGACACCAAAATGATCAATGATTATCTGCAAATTATTTTATAATTAATAATTTTGAGTTGCCCTGTTGTGAGCTGCACTGATAAATAAGTATTCATGTTTTAATACCCTCTTATCAGTCCTACACTGTTTATGTTGTCAAATCAGAAGAAAAATCCCTACTTAATGGTAGAGCTGGGCGATAGAACGATAACGATATGTATCGCGATATAACCTTTTCTCGATAGAAAAATTAAACTATTGCGATAGACCTCGCCGCTCTTGTCCTCTTTAAAAAAAGAAAAAAGAAGAAAAAAAAAAAGAACAGCCAATCCAAATTAAGTAGCGCAGAGCCTAACCAATCACAGCCGCAGCGTCACGTCACGTGACTTGTTACGTACAGCACAAGTGCCAAGCCGCACATGTGTATTTGTTTGGGAAGCAGCCAGCCACCATACCGCCCGGGTAATGGAGGAAATGAGTGTGCCGACTAGAAAAATCAACCGAGCGTGACCGAAGAGAAAACAGATGATGGTTCCAATGCCGGAGAGATTGTCGAACGGAAGAGCCATAGAAGTTCTGTAGTGTGAAGGTATTTTGGCTATTTCAAGTCTGACAAAAAACAGAATAGCGCGCACTGTAAATTGTGCCGAAAGCAAGTCTGGAAATACAATAAACTGGTGCATGCGCTACGTCCACACGTACCCGGGTATTTTTGAAAACGCAGATGCATTTGTTCTATGCATTTGCACCTTTCGTCCACACGTAAACGGCGTTTTTGGTCACTGAAAACGAAGATTTTTAAAAACTCCGGCCAGGGTGGATATTTTTGAAAACTCCGTTTTTGCATTTACGTGTGGACTAGAAAAACGGAGAAAACGCAGCGTCAAAGGTGTACGCATTTTTTGACGTCACACTGTGCGCCACGTTATTGTTTCGGTGAAATGAATTTCTACAATACTGTTACTGTTAATTCTACTCTCTGCAGTGTTTAAATGCTTACATATACACACAGTTACTGTCCCTCCACACATATGACTGGGTTCTGCTTCTATGCCCCAGCTTTGTTTACTTTTTCCCGCCGAGGCTTCTAGACTTCTGATTGGCCAACATTTCTGCACGGTTAGGAATCTAGCGCCACCTGCTGCTTTGGCATGTTCATAGTGGCGTTTTCCTTCATTTCTCCCTTTATGTGTGGACAGGATTATTTTTTAAAACGAAAACGGAAAATCTCCGTTTTCAAAAATACCCGTGTACGTGTGGATGTAGCCTCAGTCTCTGACTGGAAGCGCTAATTCGTCATTCGGCTTTTGTCAGACTAAAGTAACTGTTAAAACTGTTTGAAAAGCTCAGCTATACAACAAGGAGAGATTGAGAATTTCCTTTTAGTTCTCAGTTTATTTGATATTGACAAAAGTTAGTCAATTTTGTCTGTTCTTCTGTAAAACAAACTAAGATTTATTTTTAGAATTAATATTTTGTTTCTAAGTGGAATTGACAATTTAGTCTGTTTCGTTTGTTCTATTTTGAAACTTAAACGCTTTAGCGGCTGCCTTTTGTGTAGTTTGCAATATTTGCCTTTATTTATCTGAAATAGTCTCATGTTCCTTAAGTACATCTACCCTGTTGAACTTATTATGGGAAATAAATATTTAAATAAAAACAAGCTGCTGATTATTTCACATTTTACTTGTGAGCAACGGCACATTTAAATCTTACAAATATAGTTATTTGGCTTATATCGTGATAGATATCGTCATTGCCTGAAATGAAAAAAAAAAAAAACATGTCGTGATATGAAAAAATCTTATATCGCCCAGCTCTACTTAATGGGAAGACTTGTTCTCATATGCAGTGATAAAACTGTGAATATCACTTTGTTGTTGAATTTAAAGTACGCTTTATGTTTTGAGATCAGTATAATGTATGTCTCCCACTTGTGTGTGAAACCACAGTCTGTTTCACTTCTTTTATTTCAGATCAAATATCAACATAAATGATGTCTTGGGGAACTATTCCCTTACTCTCATTGACACCTTGGACACTCTGTTGGTAGGTTGTTTATTTACTGCTCTGCTTGCACTGCATTAAAGCAATGGTGACTGGTACTTCCTCTGTGATTTGTGGGTTTTCAGTTTCCTTTTTTTTTTTTTTTTTGGCTTAGTTTTATATTTTAGACATAATACCAGATCGAACATGAATAAAGTGAAGATGTTCACATATCTTTACCTAAATACTTTCCTTAAATCAGCCTCCAATTCCAGTTTTGGCATTTCTTTGTTTTAAACATCAATGAAATCTTTTTTTTTATTTTTTTATTAAAACTGCTGTCACTTCCCATTTATATAATTTAAAGACCATTCTATCATCAATGCAAAACAATTATTTAGTCTTGCAGTGATTTTTTTCTTCTTCTTTCCATAACAAATACAGTCTTTAGCCAATTTCTCCAGTCTCTCACACTGGGAGCTTCTGGTTTAATCCAAGGCGATGTCGTTGTATTTTTTCCAATCAGTAGCATAATTCAAAGTAAATATACGAGTTTCTCTGCTCTGCACTACATTCAGAACAACGTTGTTAGCACTTCCTCTGTAAGTTGTGGGTTTTCTGCCAAGCTTTTAAGTTCCCCTGCATGAAGCCAGGTGCAAGTGTTACCGTGTCAGTCTTAAAACTGACAGCTGATTGTTGATTTACTGTGGTTATACAGTATGTGGTTTTTCTCACCAGGTGCTCGGCAACGTGTCAGAGTTTCAAAGAGCCGTCAAACTGGTTATAGATACTGTATCTTTTGACAAGGACTCAACTGTGCAAGTTTTTGAGGCAAACATCAGGTACATATGTCACTATTTTCAGAGTCTGTAGGAATCAAAATATGTCAGTGTACGCATTTTTAAAGCAAAACATTTGATATGATGACTCGTGTAACATTTATCATGATAATTGCTTTCGATAAGCTTTTAAATATCTGGTTATGTGTAGAACTCTGGTGTTATATTTCTTTCTTTCTTTCTTTCTTTTTTTTTTAAACTGAAGGATCTTGGGAAGCCTTATTTCAGCACACATTCTGCTGACTGACCCAAAACATCCTTTTGGCAATGTGGGCTTTGAAGGTTACGATAATGAGCTGCTACATTTGGCTCATGACTTGGCTGTGCGTTTGCTGCCAGCCTTTGAGAACACCAGCACAGGCATTCCCTACCCCAGGGTGAGTGAGACTGTTGTGACCACAAATTAGAGGTATATATTCTTTCGGTCTCACTTTGCAGCACACACTTTAGTTATCATGTGAGCAGAAATTGTCATTGGTCACTGTAAATGCACTAGATTTGATTTGTTTGTATCTTTATCACAGGTGAACCTGAAGAACGGAGTTCCTCCTGACAGTGTGAATGAGACCTGCACTGCAGGAGCCGGGTCCTTGCTGGTGGAGTTTGGAATTTTGAGCCGCTTAATTGGGGATTCGACATTTGAGTGGGTAGCTAGACGAGCTGTCAGAGCCCTGTGGAACCTGAGGAGCAACGAAACCGGTCTTTTGGGTATGTATGATGTTTAGTACAGCGTAAAGACTTCCCATGGAAACTTTCTTTTTGTTTTTTCATTTTTTTTCTGTTTATTTGCTGAAATTATATGGCCACACAATGTGAATATAAACTTAAATTTCTCTTTTTAGGCAATGTAGTTAATATTCAAACAGGGCAGTGGGTTGGCAAGCAGAGTGGTCTTGGAGCTGGTATGGACTCCTTCTATGAGTACTTGCTTAAGTCGTACATCCTCTTTGGAGAAAAAGAGGACTACCGTATGTTTACAGCTGCTTATGAAAGCATCCAGAATCACATGAGACGAGGGTGAGTTCAGCACTAAAGAAATGTGACACAGCAGCATTGCACAGCTTCACTGGGTTGCAAATGAAATGTGAAATGAATCCCAGCTATGTAAATCAGTCACTGTCGGATTAAACAAGCAAAGAGGAAATAAAACTGCTGATGGTTTTTGGTTTTAGTTTCTTACTAAAGGAAACTTCAGGAAGGAAGGAAAACTAGATTCAGAAACTTAAAGCTGTCATGAGACTTAACAGAGATGCACATCAGCCCTTTATTCTTCATCAGTAAACACCGATAAACACCTGTTAAGGATCTGAAGTTGTGTTTTTGTCTTTATGATTAAAATCTCTTTGCAGCGTATAAAATCACAATTTCACTGTGATTTCATTTAGAGGCATAGGGACTAGTATTACATATTATTTCTGTGGTTTTTTTTCCCCAGGAGAGAGTCGTGCAATGAAGGAGAAGGTGACCCACCTCTCTATGTTAATGTGAACATGTTCAGTGGTGAGATAATGAACACCTGGATTGACTCACTTCAGGCTTTCTTTCCTGGCCTTCAGGTGAGGATTATAGTGGCAGCTGTGAGTAGAACGTGACCGAGGTATCGGCCTATATTGTCTGTTTCCTGATCTATTTGTATTGCCGTGTAAAACAGTTCTTAAATGAAAATTAAAAATGTTTTAAAAAATGGTCTTTAACCATGTTATGAGGGTTGATGTTGCATGATTTGTCCACCAGAGGGCACTTTGCAACCTGCCTGGCAACTAATCCTCTCTGAGTCAGTAATACTTATTATGCTATTAAAACAAGATTATTTTTAAACTGCATTGTCATGTTATCCTAGTAAAGACTCACAAATAACTACATATAACACATGTTAGGGAAATTCAGTCTTCTTCTCATCTTCTTCTCTAGATTTCTCGAGAAATTTCTCTAGAAGTCTAGAATCTTTGTTTTGTGTGTCTAAAAGACATTGTTTTGTTAATCTAAATTAAAGCTCTACTTCTGCCTCATAGGTACTGAATGGCGATGTAGATGATGCCATTTGCCTGCATGCCTTCTACTATGCCATCTGGAAGCGCTTTGGAGCTCTGCCAGAAAGATACAACTGGCAGCTGCAGGCTCCCGATGTGCTTTTCTACCCTTTAAGACCAGAACTAGTAGAGTCTACTTACCTGCTGTACCAGGTAACAGTCATGGTCTTTGTTCCACAGCGTTTGGTGCTGCTGTCAGTGACTGTTACATCTCACACAAGTCTTCTTTTTTAACTTCTGCAGGCAACCAAAAATCCTTTCTATCTGCATGTTGGAATGGATATTCTACAGAGCCTTGAGAAAAATGCCAAAGTCAGGTGAGATTAAGTTTAAAGTTGTAGATGCTTTTGTCCAAGAAATAATAATAGAAAAATACACTGTTTACTCTTTTTGAGCTTGTTAAAGCTCTTCTGTGTTTGCTTTTGGCTGAGCGGAATTGTGTTCTTTGCAGATGTGGGTATGCCACTCTCCATCATGTCGTGGATAAATCCAAAGAGGATCGCATGGAGAGCTTTTTCCTCAGCGAGACATGCAAATATCTTTATCTGGTAAGTTGCAGCTTGACCATTCAGATAGAAAGCTATGTCTTATATGGCTATAAAATTATATATGAGCGCAGTATATAGTCGAGATAGATCTTTATTCAAGTTATTGCAAGAGATGGTACTTTTGGTTGCTCCCTTATTTCCCCAGAGGGCGCTACACAGGGTGGATCCGCATGTTTGATTTGGCACAGGTTTAATACCGGATGCCCTTCCTGATGCAGCCCTCCCATTTTTCCCGGCTTGGGACTGGCAGTGGGAGTACCATACCAGTTGCTTTAGATTTCTGCACTGAATCCACACCATAGGTACATCATAGCCGCAAATCCCTCTTAAACCCTGTTACATGACCTAATGTGCATGTACATGGAAATGTAACTTACATGTCATGTTGACACATTGTGCAAGTATTGTGTTCACAGAGTTTCAACTACTATTTTACCACAGTTGAATTTATCATTGAGAGAATAATAACAATCGGCTCAATATATAAATATTTAAAGATGCCTGCAAATTCCTGGAGGGACATTGCTGAACTTATTGGGAATGTACAAATAAGTGGAAAAACTTAAGGGGAAAGTATGTTTGCACCCGAAATGACACACACAAAGAAACAAAAACCCACTGACCACAACAAAGAGTAAGGACGCAGAAGGGAAAAAGTTGCCGGATTTTACTTGTCTCTATTGTGGCTTGCAGTGCATATAAAACTCCAGGACACAACCACAAGGTCATTAATGTGTAACACACACACAATCGTGAATGCTGGCAACAGCGTCAGCTACTTGTGTAGTTTACGTCATAGACTCTTCAAAATGTAACGAAGTCTAAATCACATGTAGCTTGTGGCCCCCTGAAGCTGTGTGTGTATGTTCTCCTGATTCTAAGGTGTGCTGCCTGCCTGCCCAGGCCTCATATTCCACTTAATGATCAGTTTGTCTCAGCATTTCAAATCCTCTTTGTCAAACTGTCTTGCTTTCACATACCATGACCACATGAAGTAATTTACTGTCCTACGTGGCTAAAAGATTGATTTTCTAAGCCAGTGTACTCACAGTGCACTGGCTTAGAAAATTAGCTGAGATAAGGACTTGCAGGCAGCTGTTGTTGCCCAAAATGACCACGCCCAGTTACAGCATCATCTTTGTTATGCTGTTTAAACGGGTAAGTATTGAATGGACATATTAACTGTGGGGACCAAACCATTGAGGTTTCCATGAGGTATGAGCCAGGTGTTAGTACTGATGTCCTGCCTGTCTTCATACTGTGTAAATAAAAACCTCTCCTATGCATTGCAGCTGTTTGATGAAGACAACCCACTTCACAAATCCGATAACAAGTACATCTTCACAACCGAGGGTCATGTTGTGCCTATAGACAAACGCTTCAGGGAGAAACAATGGAATGATGACTTTCCATGTGAGGAGGGAGCACTGACAGAAAGAGAGCCAGTCAACCAGCCTGCTCCAAGAAACATCAGCAATGTAAGGCCATGTTCCTGTCGAATCTAGGCCACTGTTCTCACATTACAAATATTTCAACAGTAATTGTTTTCTTTTTAAAACTCTCTGCAGTGTAACAGGATCCCAGAGGAGCGACGGTACACTCTCCCATTAAAGAGCATCTACATGAGGCAAATAGATCACATGGTGGGAGTTTTTTGAGTGATGGGATGGATGTAATGAAATTGGCAGGGGCAGGCCTTTATTGCACAGATGAACTGACCACTTGTTGGTTAAAATCCTCTTCCTGTCTGTTGTGCTGCTCGGGAAACTCACACTAAAGTAATCCTGAGAAAGCAATTTGATTAAATTAAGTTTGAGCTTTTTGTTTCTGTTTTGCTGGATGAAAATGTTGCCAAACTTTTTCTGTGAGAAGATGAGGATTCATCCTTTGTTGCATTTTGGCAGGCAAATCATTGAGAAAGTGGTGAATAACTGTTGTGTTCTTATGGAACAAAAAAAAAAAGTCTGTTCAGGTATGAATGTGTGTGATTATGTTTGTGTATGCACATTTGAATTTTCAGCTGAGCTGGGAATCATAATGCTGTGTTAATGGGAACAGTGCCATCTAGCCACATGAAAATGCATAGCCTATAAAAACACTCAACTTAACAAAAGTCTCTCTAAACATGAGGATATGGTGCCTCCTTGCAGGTGATTCGCACTAGATCAGTGCTTCTACATAAGGGCTGTATATTAACAGATGATAGTAACAGGTACGAACTGTCAAATCCAGAGGCTGCGTTAGATCGTGGTCATAGGAATGTCGTTCTTTTTGTACACCTGAGGCTGGTTTGCAAAAGAGTCTAAACTATTGCCACTATGAATTTTTTTTTTTTTCTTAAACCGCACTAGCCATATTGCAAGGATTTTAAACTGTCTTCTGTCTTAGTTGTGTTTTGCACATCACATCAAACCTCAGTATCCAGGGAGTTACAGACAACATAAAGGTAAACTGCCTCCTGCTTGTTAGCTGTTAATTAATTTCTGATTAGTATTGAGCTAAACATTGATCTCTCAGGCTTCTAGCTACTCAATGTCTTACAAAGAACAGAGCAGTGCCACAACTGTATGAGCGGGAGATTAATGACGACTCTTTAAAGTGCCTTCAATTTGTCTTCGTTTCTCTGGATGCTGTGCAATGTATATGATAATGTTGTGAATAACTTGGCTGAAAAAAGGCCACTGTAATGTTTTGCAAAAAGAGTCATTCCATATGTATGTACAGTTTTACACTGATTATGACATGAAGCTCTTTTTTTTTTAGATGTAAAAAAACAAGCCATAAAATGTATTGTTTTTTTTTCTCCCAATGATAGTTAATTTTCAAGAAGTGCAAATTGATTTTTCATCAGTTTTCTCTCAGACACGGTCAGTATACAGACTTTCCTGCAATTTAATTTCTGTTATCAGGATGATTACCACGTGGTGAGAACTCAGGGTTTAAAATAAACACATAATCAATGAATGCTTTCATAAGAAATAAAACTTTGAAACGTTGCCTACAATATCTCGAGATGGTGCTGATTTTCTTGCAAATGAGTGGCTACACTGAAGTACAGTTGTACTGTGAAAACTGATTTTCTTCCACAAATATAAACAGAGAATGTTGTTTTTTTTTGTTTTGTTTTTAATTAGCTGTGATGTTTTATTCGTGTACAGATTTAGTTTTGGGGTTTTTTTCCACTTTTGCCAAACGTCCTGACTGTATATTGACTGTAGTGACTGCATTACACAATGACATTACAATATAAATGTTTTATTTGTAGGAGATGGCTATTCATCTTCTTTGATAATGTGCTGCATTATATCAGTGATATTTAAGTTCTCTAAAGGCAATTACCCCGATCGCTTCAAAGTTTTAGTTGCAGGTAATGTACACGTTTCAACTCCTCTTCCGAGGAGTTAAATGAAATGATTGATACCAGCTGATAGTCTGGAAAGCACAGAATGCTAATCACAGCTATGTCACAAACTTGTTGCTCAGAGCTATCAATTGTAGAGCTTTTACATGTTTATTCAGAGAGTTTGGAAATATGCCTTTTATTAGCTTGAGAGAACATTCATAACTTTGCTAAAAGAGGCCACTGTACTGTTTATTAGAGCAATTATCCTACGTTTGCAGAGGGAAACAGTTTCCTTTGCTCTGTCCAAGGAGAAAAAATTACATTCTCAAGTACACTGAAGCTCAGCACATAATTTGTTTAATCAAAATGAAAAGTCTGTTTGTGGCTCTAATACATTAAAGGGGATCTATTAGTCTCATTTCCAGCTCCTTATTTTTATTAATGAACTCTAATAGTTACTTTGAATTTTTCACAGTTTGAAATAATATTGATCAAATGGCTTTGGTTCAGGCCCTCAGTTCCTCCTTTCTGAAACAAGCTCTTTTAGCTCCCTTCTCCCGTTCTGTAGGATAACTTTCTCCTGATTAGTTGCCCCTTTAGAGCAGAAGAGACCATCAATGTCATCTTACAGGCCTAAGATGATGACGCTTTTTTTCTTTTTGCCTCTCTAAACACTTGAGAATCGAGGAAAAAGGAATCTTCCCATTGAACCTTTTGGGGGATTTCCTTCCTCTTTGGAGCTAAAAAAGGCCACCCAAACACATGAGATATCAATGGAAAGCCCCAGATGTCCTCTTTTGAGTACATCAGACTTAGTAGGGTCAAAAGATATAGACCAAAAACAAATGTCCACAGAGGACATAAATGAACAGGCTGGTTCTCAGGAGGATAAACCGTCACAGTGGATTTTAAGTCGTACAATCTTAATGTGATTGAAGTGCAGAACCTTCAGCTTTAATTTAATGGGTTTTACAACGTATAGCATTAACTACTTTGGAACAAAAGCAATTTTTATTGCTTAAACAAGGATGAATTTTAAGTAACATTTTTTTTCCAGGCAATGGCTAGAGCCCATGGAGTTCTTCTTCAGTTGCAGCTTATTTGCTGGACTTTCTACCTTCAGTAACTGAGAAAAATACCGCATTTGGTTGAGATCGGGTGACTGACCTGGCCGTTCAAGAATATTTCATTTCTTTGCATTGGGAAATTCTTGTCTTGCTTCTGCAGTATGCTTTGGGTCAGTACTTATTTGCACTGTGAAGCACTGTCTGATCCCGATTCCACTGGCAGACATGCACGTACCAGAGTATTGCCTCCACCGTGTTTGACTCATCATGCGGTGAGCTTCAAATTACGACCTTTCGTCTGTGCAGGCTCTGTAAGATGTTTTCAGGCAACGTCTAATCTTGTCTATCTGTTTTTGAGTTCTGGAGCAGATGGCTGAAATTTTTTGACTTTTAATTGTTTTCTAATACATTTTAGAGCTTTTTTCTGCCGATGAAGATAGTAGATTTTTCACTTGTAACATTTTTCCTTTTTGAGACATTTATTTTGTATTTTCGGCCTAATGATGACCTTCTTGACTTACTTTGTGATCCCTTTGGTCCTAATTTTGAGATTTCCACTGAAAATATATGAAATGCAAGTTCAACCCCTGGACTCAAGTTCAGTTCTCTTAATTTGACAAAGCAACAAGCTTCAGTTGGACATGGAGTTGTCAATTATTCTATTTTGAGCTTCTGAAAATCTACATATAAAAAAATGTAACTGCTGAATAGTTACTGTATTTAAAAAACAGGGAGGCAAAGAATCTTCAACGCAGAGCTGTTCTTTGAACGTTTATGAAAAACTAAAGGCGGTCACTTGTAAAAATGACACGTTTCAATGATTTAAGTAAGAAATATTCAGTGAAAATAATAAATGTAAAATTCTAAACACAACACTGCAGAGTTGCTTTTAATTTGTGAAAGACTGAGAAGTACTGAGTTTTCTACAGAAGCTTTAATAAGTTTGATCAAGGAATACAATTAGTGGTTTCTGTACAGAATTGTTGGCTCAAAGGCCCAGAGTTTTAATTAACTTAAACAAATCTTTGACAAATCTATCCCTCGACATTGTTACATATCAACATGCTGTCGCCATACTTAATTAACTGTCCAACAGAAATCTGCTTAATTATATACACTGGCCATTTTCAACTATTGTAAAGAGTTAGATTTCCTAACACTTTCATGTGACTCGAGCATGTCACAGGTTCGATTTGTGACATGCTCGAGTTATGTTACAAACTGCTGTAGTGTGTTTGTACATAAAAGCCATTTCTAGTGAAAGGTTCTGTTAAAATATCTAACAGAGGCTGAAGTGCATATGCAGGTGGTTAGGCCATCTTCTTTGCCCTTTTAGCCGTACACTGATCACTTACCGTAACACACAGACAATGCATTAGCCGGAAATGTTTTCACATTACATGAGGAAAAAAAATCACTGTTTGCTGACAGAAGCTCCTGATGTTTTAACTACACACTGCATGCCACCCCCCAAAGACCAGTTCAAGAGACTTGAGAGGAAAATTTAGATGAACTGAAATTCAACTCATCTGAAACCTGCACGGAAGTTTCTGAATTTGGAGCTATCTGAAAAAAAGTTCTTTGTCAAAGCTAGAACTTAATTTTGAACACAAAAAATAGATTTTTCTTTTTTGCATTCGCTGATTTGAGGATGGCCGCTTGCAGGGACAGTTTTCATCTTCAGGCCTCAGTTTGAATTGAGAAAAAGATCTGTGAAATGTGATAGGGCTCTACCAGCACCCTGTAAAAAACAAAAAACAAAACAGGAGTGAACCATAGTGACCGATGACAACAGTTCATCCTGATTATCTTTAAAATCATTTTTCTACTTTGCTCACCTTCATCTGGTTTTCTGCGTGTTTTTTTAGAAGAGACCGCAATCCTTCAGGTTTTCTTTGATGATGATGTCGGTTACGGCATCGAACACAAACTTGACGTTCTCTGTGTCGGTAGCGCAGGTCATGTGAGAGTAGATTTCTTTGACGTCCCTGCGCAGGTTCAGGTCCAAGAACTGCATCTTGATATAGTTACCAGCATCCTCATAGGTATTGGGGCCTGGGTGAGACAGTGTAATTATAAAGTTTTGCTTTTACTTAGCTTGCCACTATCTTAAATATGTATTTGAAATGATTATCTCACCATCATATTCAGGGAAACACATGCTGAGATGTGCTTTCTTGATCTTCTCAACGAACACATCTTTCTTGTTGAGGAAGAGTACGATGGAGGTGGTGGCGAAGTAGCGGTGGTTGCAGATACTGTTAAATAAGTGCAGACTCTCGTGCATGCGATTCTGGGAGAAAAAAAATCCCAGTGAAGAGACTTTCCAAAAACATGGACACTAATAAAAGAATATCAAGTATCTAGTTTAACTTGTCATACCACTTCATCATCCTCCACCAGGACCATGTCATAGGCGCTCAGAGCAGCAATGAAGATGATACAGGTCACGCCTTCGAAACAATGGATCCACTTCTTCCTCTCTGACCTCTGACCTCCCACATCAAACATTCTGCATGAGAACAGGAGCATGTTGCCTTGTTTGCCACCGTGCACACAGGAAGCCCAGCGGCTGATTTGTTTGTCTTATTCTCTTGATAAACATTGCTCTGGCTCACCTGAAATTGAGATCTTTGAAAGAAAACTGAGTTTCGATGATACCAGTGGTCTTCACTCTTGATCGCAGCACATCCTGCTCAGTGGGCACGTAGCCTGGTTGGATCAGTCGCTCCAAGTCATTCAGATAGCTGCCGGGGGAAGGAGAAGAGAATAGGTCGATGACACATCCTGATACAAGAGATTAAAATAATGTAGCAATGTTAAACCTGAGTAAATGTGATATCTTACTATCCAGCAGAGTCGTTGAGTTGGTACTCTGAAGCTCTGTCAAAGCATGCCTGTATGCCAGAATCTTTCCACAGACGCAGAATGATATCTGCCATTTCTTTAGGCATGGTGCCTTCCTCAATGGTGTCTGCAAGATGCATGAGTTTCCTGGCATCATCCTGCATGGAGGCATGTGTGTGTTTAGTGAGCTATAAGGACCACGAAAGCTGTTTAGCTTCATATGTATGTGGAAATGAGTGTCAGCAGTGGTTACCTGCTGATCAGAGTGCCCGTAGTTGATATTGAGCGTGTTCATGGCCTTCACAATGGCCATGATGGACTGCAGGGTGTTGCTGTAGATGATGGTAATGAACTCCAAGCATTCTTCAAGCGAGTAACCATCTTTGTGGATAATTCTGGTGAGAAAAAATGTAGCATTAAAAAAATGCAACTCATAGTCAACTCTAAAAGAAGGTCAGCAATGCTCAGATGCAAAGTCAGCTTACTTCATCTGTTTGACAATAGTGCTTTTGCCTGATTCTCCAGCACCTGTATGGAAGAAGAGCAAGAATTGAATTGTTTGAATGACATATTTATAAAAATGCTTTCATCATGTTTAAGGATATAGGGAAAGATAAGTGGGTAATTTTGACCTTATTTTTGGTGCTAATTTTGTATTTTTGAGTTAATTACAGAAGACGTTGCAATTTTTCATCAGATAAAGGGACTTCTTACTTCAGGTCTAATCTTTTCTTATCCCTGACCTAC